TTGTTTTATCAGTTTTGTCTTATGCTGATAGGTCATTTATGTCAAAACATAAGCATGTTTTTTCAGGGTGCTGAAATAGCATGTTACACCTTCATTGGGGAAAAAATCAAAGTAGTCTTTGTTGATTGGAGATTGGCAGATACTGATTGGCTCAAAATCATCTGGTAAATGACTGGATATTTGAAAATCTTTTCCACAGACCGTTTTTGGAGGGTTTGCTAAATATATTGCACTCATAATTATGTTCATATATTTCTGCATAATTTGCTTTTTAAAATACCTTCAGAAATTATAACAAATACCATAAAAGCATCTTCATAGCCTCTGAGAATTGGATACAGCTGAATAGAAGAATCTCCATAGACATTGAACAGAAGAAAAAAAAATCAAAACAATCCAGCTTGCCTTGGAAAGAACAATTTTGTGTATAGATGCAAGAGCAGAAGGATTCAAATATGTACAATCACAAAATGCATACATATTTTCCTCTAATTTTTCTGTTCCATTGCTATGTGAATAATTTGTGAAAATGTATTACAGTAAAAGCTAGGGTATTACAAATCACATTCTACACTTTGATAGCTTTTTCCAAACTGGGTGACCTCCATATATATAACTTTCAACTTCCAGAATTCTTTACAATTCATGCTGGCTGTGGAATTCTAGGACTAGAAAGTCATATCTCTGGCAGATTCCAAGGTTGTGGAAGACTGCCTTGGGGGAATCGTTTCTTCATAATCTTTCTTCCATATCTATAATGTGGGAAGATTAATACTGGCCTAATTTAAAGGGCTGTTGGTAAGGACTATAAGAGACCTGGTATAGCATACACATGGTCTATTTTATATCAATGATTTTCTGGATTGGGGCCTTGAAATGCAAACTTAGTGGTTTCATCTGTCTTTAGGTAAAATTTAACTTAACCAAGCATGTAACTAAACCACATAGTTGTGCTAGTGGTTGCAGTTGAGGACACAAAACCACAATTGTTAATAGTTCCACTCTCTACATTTGGCATAAGTACTTAAGGTTTATTTTTCCTATTGTAACCATGAGAACCAGGAACTTATTTTCTTCTTATTTGTGTATTTTAAAAAATCTCATCTTTAAAAATATCAAGTGGGTGTAGCAGATGAATGAGAGAGATTAAAAGAGGAAGGAGAAAAAGGATCCATATTTCAGCAGACTTGCATGCAATATATATATTTCATTATTATTGTGTTGGCAACTTTTCTCTTAACTAGGTTTCCTGGTTCTGAAGTGACTGCACAATAGAATCAGCTACAACGTCTTGGTGAAGAAAATTGTAACCTGTCATTCCTCTTATCAAACTATCAGTTGTTAATAAGCAGCACAAAATTCTCAGAGTGTTTAATTTTCTTACTTCTCCATACCTTCTGGCTTCAACAAGGAAATATAGATGCACAAATTAAACAGAATAAATTGCCATTATTAAAAAAAATTAAAACTCAAGCTGAAGTTAACTAGGTATCTTGCAATAGTCAACAATCCAAACAGACTGTTGGCTGCAACAGTCAAAACTGAAACAAAAATAAATCCACAGCAAATAAACTAGACAAAAGGTTTGCCAGGGAGTGACAGCAAAATCATTATGTGAAATAGTTGTGGTTGAAACTCTCTATGGAAAGCAGTTAAGGAGGGAGTCAGTGTTGTTTCAGCTGGATGGCCATTCCAAAGGGCCAGTGCTAACATTGAGAAGAAGTTCCTTCTAGCCTCAGCACCTTTTATTGCCTAAAAATGGGGGACCATGAGCTGATTTTCCTGGAAAAATCAGGTAGGTTGAGTAACTTTGTTGGTGAAGAGCTGTGCAAAGTGTTCAGAGCAGCCGGAGTTAGGATTAGGGGTTCTAACCAAGACTGCTGGATGACAGCCTGCCAATCAATAGATAGGGAGACATTATTGTCCTTGCCCAGCTTGATCTTGGTTATACATGCCAGATCTGTCTGGCCATCACCAAATCATGAGTGGACAAAGTTTTGTTATAGCAAAACTCAGAATTGACCAGAAGTACCTTGAGGCTGCTCTGGGCACCTGGACCCCAGAACAGATTTTCAAATTGAAGATTTCTCACCCCTCCCCCCACCCGGAAGGTTCACCTAGTACCATACATTGTTCTGGATTAGGGAGAGCCTAGTAATTACTGAGGTTGCAACAGGTAGGGGAAGAGAGATTAACATTTTCTTCCTTTGGAGCAGACCTAATAAAAAAAATCCTTCTCCAAAACTTGTTTCTTAGCATTCCAAAACAGGCTACAGGATGGAAATTTATTCTGCTTTTTGCAGGCTCCAAAAAGTCTCTCTCATCCTGCTAAATCTCCCATACTAATATCCTCCCTCATACCATACAAGATGATCTGGATGTACGGGGGGGGGGGGGGAAATCCCCAGCTTATTTTAAGTTTGGGAAGAATGGGGGCTTCCCAGTTCCTGGGCCTTCACATAAGTAAATAAAAGAAATCCCCTTTTCAGTAGTGAGCACATTGGTAGACCCCTGTTTGCTTAACACACATGGTGTTTTGTTAAGTGGTTCTAAATTCGTAAATGGAACTTGAGTTCAGGATTTATAAGAGTATCAGATTTAAAATTAGACTCTAATAAAAACTGTTATAAGGACAAAAGTTAGTTGGGACATGGGGCTATCTTAGAAATCGAAGTGTTAATTTTGGCAGTAAGATCCGTCGTCAAGTCCAAGTGGGAATTTATTTTTTGTTTTATGGTCCTGACACACTGCTTATCATTCTATAATAGTGATTCAATTCTTAATGAAATATTTGCAACTGTTTAATTTTACCATTGATCTTAAACTTTAAATAAAACCATTATAGTCTGACGGTATTCACGAGCAATATATTTTCTACAGCAAAAACAGTTTGGCAGAATTGAGTAAATCCTTTCTTTAAACCTTCCACTACACTGAGAAGATGGTTGTTGAGATACCCAAAATGTTATCCATGTTCAAATGGAAAAGCATTGGAGAACTATATAAGAGATAGATTCCCCCCCCCAAACATTATGATTCTATGCCCTGCTTTCTTTGCACACAGGGAACTTTGGATCTAACCCTGCATTTTATCCAAAACATTATTAGAATGTCTTACTACTAATAGCAAACCATCTAAGAATATTGTGACAAGGGCACCCCTACAGTACTCTTAGAATCCTTCTATTTTTTTTTAAAAAAAAACACTAAATAGAAACTTTGACTCACTTTGATAAATAATGAAAATGTATGATCATCAAGAGCTGTCCTTGCCTTTACCTCAAAGGTAGGCAACTCATCTGGTCTGATAAATACTATTATAATTGTTAAGAGTAGATAATAAATACACAATAGATTTCTTGGGAAAAGCTTGCCCACTTTCCCTGAAAGGTCTTGTTCTTGTAAAAATTAAGTAGAAGAAGGGCATAAGGAATTATAAAACTTTTACCTTGATTATGCTTGCTAAAGTTATTCTTCTGAAGTGAAATTTCAGTCTTTTGTTTCCTTCTCTAGCATTAAGTATGCAGGCCAGGTATGAGAATTATCCCTATTGCTGAGATTCATTTTAGAAGTGATAAAATAATCTTGAGATCCCAGAACCATCCTCACAATAGCCTTTCCCAACTATGCCTCCAGTTGTATTTCTAGAATTCCTGCTCCCCCTACTGACCCACAATCCTGAAAGTTGCAGTCCTGATATATCTGGACATAAACCAGATTTGGATTATCCCTGGCTTTATTCTCAACAATTGAGAAGGAGAAGCCCCATACACCTGCAAAATAAAATCTAAGCCATATTTTTATATTCTTTATTTGAAGAACATAAATGACAAACTGGGCTACTGCTCGATTTCATTGTGATTCCTAGGGCCTCTGAGGAAAAGAGAGATATATGGTTTAGGTCAATTAAATCCACTGCTCCATGCTAATCTCCCCCTCACCTAAGCTTTCTCCTTTATTTGATATTTGAGACACAACTGGAAGTAATCACCGTAGTCACTTTATACTGTGAAGCACTCCTAATAAATTAAATTACAAAGGGAATTCACAAGCTCATTTTAGGTTTTCCTGACAGATCATTTTCTTTCATCTCTTATCTTTCCTAAGAGATGTTGTGTGGGAAGGGCGTTTTCCTTGCAGAGGGCATATGAAATTAGGCAGAGTGCCACAATATAACTGTAAACTTGCCAATTTCTTAATTTTGCATTACTGAAATGATGTTACTAAGCTGGTTTCTATATCAGCATATAAGAGCAATTGATTTTGTGCTGGAAGATTGGTGGCATAAAGCATCCTTGGAAAATCGCCTCCATTGACACAACCCAGGATTCTCTAATTTATGTATAATGTTGGAGCTGGAACTATTTAATTTCTAGTAATGCTGTTGACATTTGTCACATATAAGTGCTGAAATCATCACCCATTGCTGCCCAGAGCATTGCCGGTGCTGCTATTGCTATATTGTGGCACTAGATATAAAACCCTGAAATTCAAGGCATCTTTGAACTTACAACTTAAAGCTATTACCTGCATTTTATGTAGGATTGGGCAAAATCTAACAAATTATGCGTCCACAACTGTTTTGGCATAGAAATCTTTTAAAGATCCACTTGCACAGAATCTCTTGTGAAGGAATTAAGAAATTTCCATTGCCTATGTATGGAGTATGCCGAAGTCAGATAGTGTTCTACCTGTATTGGTTGATCTTTTTTTTTATCTGTACAATGGAAGGATGAGATAGTACCAAGAGTATTGTCTGTGACTCAGATTTTAGTGTACTAAACCAGTGAAGAAAAGGTAGTTTGCTTATGATAGTTATAGGTGGGACTGGAGTCTTCAGAAATTAATTCCAAAGGAAGATGTTATAGCTTTTTCCACCAACAATGGCCCAGAAAAGTTGCAGCAAAAGGACAAGAATTGCTGGGAGAAATTGCTTTCTGTATTCAAAATATTCATTGCTTACATATTTTCAGGCTTTGCCTATTTTTGTCTTTTGTTAGAGTAAACCTAGCCTTGGCCTACACAGAACTGACTGAAGAGCTATGCCGCCTGAGAAATCTGACTTCTCTTCAAAGTCAGATTCTCCGGACTCTTATGCAGGAGCAGGTCCTGAATGGTGAGTGGAATTTCGGTATAAAAGAATGTATAGATAGCCTGCAGCAAACTAGGCTTAAACTATGGTCACAGATGGTTAATGGTCTCCTCTTTTCTCCTTCCTCCTCTTCCACCTTCACCTCCTCTTCTTGCAACAATAAAGACTTACATATCTCAGAGACAGACAAGGGAAAAATATTTTGATCAACAATCAATAAATAACATAAACACATTAATTAAAAAGGGAAAGCAATAATGTTCAGACCTGCATCAGTTGTCAACTCATTTTCATTACAACATCACCAAATTTAGCTGCTCTATTGTATCAGTGAGAGAAAGTTTCATATCTGAGAGAAATAGATTCACTTAAAGTGTTCTTAGTTATACATGGTTAAGATACAACTATTCCAAATGTCTTTATAATAACACATGATGGATTATTTCTATATGCCCAGATGCTTAGAGCGGGGGTACTTAGCTAATGGGATTTTAGAGTACCTACCTTGTAAAAGTGCAAAGGAAAGGATGTTATATGTTGCAGAGACAGATGGTACTTCACCCCTTCCCACCTGCTTTGATGAGTATGATTATTTTAATTTCAATCATGAGCAAGAAAGTTTGCAAACCTCTTTAGCCTTTGCTATAAAACATATTTTAAAATAAAACATATTTTCTATTAAGAATCAAGTAGAACCAACTAGGTATGTAATGAGTGTAGATCACCAAAGCTTTGACTAGTATAGATTATGTAAACTTTCAAAATTGTCTAGGCATCTTTTGGAAGTTAGTCAGTCATTGCTGTGGGTGCCTTCAGCATCCTCAGAGCATCTATTCTTTTCTCCTTTGTTCCAGGTCAGCGGCATTCTCCCCATTCCCAGCGCCATTCTCCTGCCCAGCAACGTGGCTCTCCAGCTCCTCAATGCCCATCTCCAGCTCAACAAGGGAGACCTTCTGCTCCTCAAAGCCAATCTCCAGCCCTACAAAGGCGTTCCCCAGGCCCACCTGGTCAGTCCCCTGCACATCAACGTCATTCCCCAGCTCCCCCTCCTTGCCAGTCTCCTGTTAGCCAGCGTCGTTCACCAGCTCCACCACCCAACCAGTCTCCTGCCCAGCAGCGCTGCTCACCAGTCCAAAACTGTTCATCGCCTGCCATGACTTCACAACATAGATCTCCAGGGGCTGACAGAAACATTATGGATCTAGGATATTCTAAGCCCTCCAGTCACCACATCAAAGCAAGCTTCCAAGGCCGTCGAAGCTATTCGGAGGTGAGCGACGCTGCTCTGTATCAACAGAACCGTTCTCTCTGGCTGCAGCCAGAAATATCCACCTTACCAAAGCATCGTCCCTACTGCGAGGTTTATGGCAGAGACACCTTCGAAGAGCACTTGCGCTTTGAGAAGCAGTCCTCGGATGAAGACGACTGGGCCCTCCCAAGCCCCCCAAGCCCTGAAGTAGGGGGTATCCGCTGCGCCTCCTTCTGTGCAGGGTTCCCCATTCCCGACACCTCCATGCACCGGATTGATGCATCGTATTCTAGGGCTGAGCATGCTCAGTCCTGGCCCTCAATCAATGTAAGCAACATCCAATGCCATGTGTATTCTATGCCTTTTCCTCACTTCAGTTTGAACTCAGTTCAGAATCAGTTAAGTAAATGGTCCTTCATTGCCCAATTTATTTTACTTACAAAGATTTTCTAAGACTGTCAAGTGTTTATAGTGTATATTTTAATACTACAAACCAAACACTTAATATTTTGAGTAAGGAACAAAATTTGTGAGACCTGATGTTCCCAAGGTAGTGGTAACTGTGTTTTAATTATACATTGACAAGGTTTCAGTGATCCAGTGATCAATAGTATGAATCAAGCAGATCATTTAACTTTAAAAAAATTAAATCTGTTCAAATCATGTACCCTCAGCAATTAACATCCAACCCAAGTAGTTCCCGATGATGTTTTAGAAAATGCTAACCCTAGCCCTTTGACAGGTTTGCAACATTTTCCTCACATCTGATTAGAGTTTGCATTCTAAAGTTGCCCAGTTATTTTCAGTAAAGATGAAAATGATATTCTGGTCTCATGTTTGTAGGCATTCTCATGATAGTTATTATTATTTTCCCATGTTCAATATTTATTCATTTTACTGCTTATTTTAAATGGTATTCTCATGCTGGCTTGTACAATAAATTACCATACAAAAAGTTTCTTACGGTTTTATATAAAATAAAATTAACTAGAACGGCAATAGAAGACAATTTAACTGTGGCCCCAAAATGTTAGTGATCAATTAAAACTATAAAATGTACCTCAAAAGAAAGCTATCAGGTAAGGGGTCTCATGTACCTTTTACAAAAGGCTTTTTCTAAGAATGGGGATGTTTTTAACAATATCAGCTTAAAAATAAATTAAAAGAGGGAGGGAGCCTGAAGTATCTTCTGCAGCAGTAGTCTCCAACTTTTCCGGCTCTGCAGACTGGTGGCGGTGGAGGACCCTATTATGCAGAATGCCTTTGATAAAAAATGGGAATCAAGATTATGTACAATTAAGAGTTGCCTGAGAAAAACAGGAACCTTTGGCTTTGATCCCCAACATGATGCCTTCCAGTTCTTTGGGGAATACATAGCCCTTGGAACAGCCACCCATGATGGTTTGGATTCAGGAAATTGTACCCATCTGAATGGCATCAGTTGCAGGAAGACCATTTAGCTACTTTTGGAAATTGGTCAACAATACTCCCATCACTGTTTTTAAATGCACATGGTTTGCATGCATATTTTTCAAGATTTACCCCCATCCCCAAAATAAAGAGGGACTAGCTAAGTAGTTGCATCTTACAGATAAATTGTAATTTATATAAATATTTCATGAAGTTAAGAGTAATATTACATTGATGAATGAAATGCAAATAACATTAGTGACACCCAGTAGTGTCAGATCACAACAGAACACTACATAAAGGAGAATATTTGTATCTCAAGGTTGAAATGAGGGGTCCTTGGTGCTCTCTGAGCTTGCTTGTTTTCTTGCATTACCCAAATTAGGTAACATCACCAGTCCATCATCACTAGCACTGATGATGTTACCTAGTTTGGGTAATGAAGCTTCTGCAAGAAAACAAGCACGTTCACAGAGCACCTAGGATCCCTTGGAACACTAGATGCTACAAAGTGATAGGGAAGATCTAAAACCTCCTAATTGCTACATTTGGTAATATGTAAAAATCACTTAAGTTATTGGTGTCAAATATAGGATGATGCTATTTAATTATATTGTTTCATGCCCAGGTATTAGCATGAGGTTCCTAAAAAGTATAATTCACAGAATGTATATATTCTCTGGAGTTTTCCACATCTAGTTATATGCTTTGTCTATCACTATGGTCATTTTTCTATGGCAGGCACTTCTCATTTTAGCCACAAATTTATTTAAATATGATTAGGTTTTATCTCTTAACTTCAACTGTTACCAGCTAAAGCATTGCATTAAGAATGAGAACCTGTGGCTCTCCCAGTGTTGCTGAATTACAGTTCTTAGCAACCTTCACCATTGGCTTTGCAATCTCTGGGAAGTTGTAGTTAATACTGTATGTATCCCAGAGACTGACAGGCTATGTACCATTCCATTATGGGAGTATATCTAAAAGATCCATCTTTCAGAAACTTGGTAAATAATGTCATTAACACAAAATAAAGATTTAATAATTTCACTTTTGTGATACCTTTCTCTACTTTGCATTCCTTCCCTGTATCCCTTAGTTGCTGATGGAAACAGTCGATTCTGACATCCGAAGCTGCCCTCTCTGCCAGGTGGCCTTTCCCATCGGTTATCCAGACGATGCTTTGATAAAACACATTGATTCACACCTGGAGAACAGTAAGATCTGAGATCTGTTCCACCGTCCTTCCTCTTCTGGCTTCCTTAAAGAGATTGCCCACCTCATACCCACTGCACCTTTCTTGGATGCTGCATGAAAAGTGGAGGCACCACAAGGGGCTTTTTCTCTCTAAAATACCTCCAAGTTTCCATTAGACTGAAGCGTGAACATTTTTGCCTCTCCCTTGTCTTCTTTGCCTTGGTTTTTAAAGTGGGTTGCCTCTCCTTTTCCTGCTCTTTACGGGCAGGACCTGCAATATTTCTCCAGTGCTTCAACCAGCCACAAAGGTGGGGAAAGGAATGAGAAATATGCTGGAATTAGGCTTAGCAGGGCACAGTCACCTTCACTATCTGATTGCTCAGAACTAAGGTTGCTTCTGGTGATGGTGAGACTCTATCTACATGGTTTAGTTTTGATGTCTCTGAAAGATCTCAGGGTAGGATGGGTGAAAAATAACCCAAGTTTGTGTGTTTTGGGATGGGGTAGGAGACAAATTAACTCCAACCCACTGAAGGCACAACAAATCACAGAGGTTTTGTTTGTGCCTGTTTTACACAGGGATATCCAAGTGGGTCAGATTTCTCTGCCTCTTATGCTACTACAAAGGGTATTTGGAGGTTGGTTGTTTAACAAATGTAAAAAGCCTTGCCTCCAATTGCTGGTTCAAGTGTCTTTGTGTTGGTCTTTTACATTAAAAGTCCACTTTTAGCAATGCTGCTGAGAAATAGAGCCAACTTCCAAAAGTGTAGCATGGACGTTCTTATGTTATTGCACTGAATAATAAGCTTTTTTTTCCACAAAAGAAACTCCTCTTTTTGTCTGTGTTGGCTTCTTGTGAGTCATTCTGGAGGGCTTGTAAACTGCACACTTAGGTAGAAGCCCAGAAAGCATTCCCATATTTTGGCGACTGTTTTACACATTTTTCACAACCACTTCACATCTTGCTTTAGATAGCTCTTATATAATAACTGTAGCTGCACATTTTGCCTCATCACTCTCTTGCAATGGCAGCATGTTAACATTATTGGGATAACAGTGTAAATGTAAACAACTTCCCATATTTGACACCACTATATTTCTCTCTCTCTCTCTCTCTCACCCTCCTTACTGAACATATATTTTATTATACTAATCTAAGATAAGGATCATGTACTGATTGGTGTCTTGCTTCCACATGTATAGTACCTCTGTATTGTGAGGTTGGTCTCCTTGAAACAGCCTATCTGTACATCGGCCTTTACTTTTAAAAAAAAGTGGAGAGGGGGAGAAGAATTGCATGGATTTTCTTTTCCTTCTTCTTGAGGCAACTGTCTTCCTATTTCCAGGTTCTATTAACAAGTGTATATGTTAAGATTTACAGCCTGCCTTATCCCAAGATCTCAGACTGCCAGTGGGCAGTAGGCATGGGCCCTTATCTTTTTGGCCATATAAAAGTAGTTGGGATCAGTGTTTCTAAGACTTAAAACAACCTCCCCTGGCCAGATACCTCCATCTGTGCTGAATTTCATTCTGATCATCCTAATGTCCATGATGCTGAGGAATGACTAATTCAGTGCCTATGGGGGAGACCAACAATAATTTAACATTTTTTTCTTCCCATCTTTGTCTGGTCAAGATTGCAAATCACCACATTCCCCTGTCCCTTGTCTTTAATCAGATTTTAATTCTCCGTTCTATATGTGTCGATATTATGCCCATACTTTATTTAAATTCTTCCCATGCTGAGGGAGAAACTAAACAGCAGGAGAATCAGGTCTTCAGACCTTCCCTGCTGTGAAACCACTGTCAGGGATTACATAAAAAAAAATAGCTGGCAGCAGAAAAGGTGCTGAACTCCTGTGAACTTCAGTTACCATGCTTGGTCGGGTATTTTTAATCTAACCTGTTTTTTCAATCTCAGAGGCCATAGAAATACAACTGTGAGGTGGAACATACCTTTCTAGCAACAAAAATAGGCCACATGCTATACAAAAAATCAAGTGGATTCAGCATTTATATATACATGGAGCGAAGCTTCCAATACTTACATTATGTTCAAACTAATTTGGTTCAAGATCCAAATTGCAGAAAAGTAATTTGCATATAGAAGAAGAAACCTCTTTATATGTCTGGTAGCAGAAATCTAAAGCAGAGGTCACCAACCTTTTCATGCTGGCGGCCTGGAGGGAAAGGGAGCAGCTGGGAAATCTGTGTGTGTGAGCGCGTGCGCGTGCAAACAGGACTGCACATGAACAGGGCCACGCACACCCACATGGTGCTAGCGGCCCATCTGGTCCTAACTCTGAACAATAAAAAATAATAATTCCACTCCTTCTTTTAAGAAACAACCCTTCAGATATCTGAGACTGCTATGGTATCTCTTTCACAGGGTAAATTGATGAATATATCCAATCTTTTAATGATTGCTCAAAGAGCTTCCTGAGATGCCACGGAGAAAATGTATCCTCCATTGAAAAACCTTTTAAATCCAGTATTGTATGGTGTGGTAGAACCAGTGGTGGGATTCAGATATGTGAACAACTGGTTCTCTGTGTTCTGGAAGTCCATTCTGGGTCTGGGCAACAAAACATTAGCTACCGGTTCTGCAGAAGTGGTGCGAACCAGCTGAATCCCACCACTGGGTAGAACTCATAGATGGAAGTTATAGATTTATATTCCTGGAGGCTTACATAGGAGAACATCCAGTTGTGTCCACTTTGTCTCTGTCCCGGCCTGCCACCCTTTAATGAGGACCCATATCAGCCTTGAAGCTTTAATTATCCTTCACGATAGACTTGTTTCTGCTGAAGCCTATCTTGGTTGCATACATTTTATAACAAATGGTTGCTATACCTGTCATAGCTGCCATACATAATTATCCACTTTAATTTTTTCTTGGTGTGCTGTAGCTCAGTTCAAGGGTTGAACAGTTTTCCTAAATCTCTGCAAAAGTTACAAGAAAATGGGAGAAGCCCTCCTGAGGAAGGCAGTCAGAGCTTGCACCCATGTTTATATCATCAAATGAAGCAATTTAAAGAGGCCTTCCGTTGGCAATGATATTCTCTATCATTTAACTCCTGAAATTATCAATAGAAAATTTTAATCTGCATAAGTCACACAATTTCTACAACTATTTGGTTTTCTTTAAATAGGAAAAGAGCCACGTAAGTGGTACACATTTGAAAATGTATCTTGCAACTTTTCACCTCTCTTCCATTTTGTTACATGAAATCTACCTCGATGTTTATGAGAAACAGGAATGATTACAAGCAAAAAAAAAAAAATCAACCAACCAACCAACTAACTAACCAAGAATGGGGGAAGGGTGGGCCTTGAATTACGGGAATGTTTTTATAATTTATTTTTTAAAAAGTCTATAATCTACTAAGGGCTCAAATAGCACTCAGATTGTTCCCCTTGCTCTGAAGCTTCATAATGTTTTTTTTAAAGATCTCAAGGAGCAGTCAGCAATGTTAGGGATGCACAAGAGCCATGAAATGGAGGTGTAAAAATAGTTTCCACAAGGGTTCTTCACACTTGTTTCAGCTGGTATAAAATGGTGGTTATGCAATTGACCTATAATACACAAAGTCCTTAGTTTAAATTTTATATTTGTCACGATGACAATATATTGCTTAGACAAGCTCAATGAATAACCATTCTCTTGGCGACATTTCTCCTAAATCCCTTGGGGGGAAAAAGTCTCACCACTATAATCATGGGATTTAGAGAATATTCCTTCTATGTTTGGCAAAATTAATACTTTTTCAGTGTATACGTCTAACATAAAATCTATGGAATTTACAATAAGCTAGATTCTACATATAATTTTAAATTAGTAAGAATGTGGTTTCCACATATCCATAGTTGTACATTCTGGAGTATTTTACTCTGATATATTGAACAAATTACCGATTCTGTTCTGACGTCAGCTGGAAGTTAAAACTATTTGTACGGTAACTGTTAGGTTGATTGATGGCTATTGGCTGTAATACTTAAGTGAAATGTTTTAAAGGCAAGATGCTACTAAATACCAATTTTTGGTACAAGAAGCTATTGTCATGACAAAATTATTGTCATAATTTTTTTCCCCAAACCTAGATGATCCACTCAGTTAAGAGAGTGCTGGATAAATATAATTTTTATTCTGAAGAAGCAGGCCAGCTCACATGTTCCTAAACTAATGTCATGAAACACTAATAAATTAACATAATGCTAAGTTTATATCTCATACTATAGTGTGGTTTGCTTTTGAGTAAGGGCAATATGAACCTGCCAATTGTGGCTTAGTATTATGTGTGAGCTAGGCTATATCTTATTCAACAAGTCGTCATAAAAATATTTTGGTTTGGCATAATAGGCGAGTTCAGCCATGAAGTTAATCCTTAACTTTCTTATTGTCAGTCAGCATGGTAAGTATCAGATAGCTTATTTCACTTTCTTAAAATGCATGTTTAAAATATTTTTCTTTATGTTCCCTGCTGATCTTTTTTTTAATTAACTATCAGAGGATTTTCACAAAAATTAATGTAGACTCCATTCCAATGTATTTTTGAAAGTTCAGAATATCCAACATTTGCCATTTTTACTTGTGCTTATGTAACAAATAAAGATAGAAAGGTATACTAAGAATTTGTGTTGTGCTCTTGTAAGCAATTATAATTTTTCATTGGAACTTGTCTTCTGACTAGTATTTTTTTTCCTAGCTATTTAATATTGGTTTCAATTATTTGTATGCCAAATTTTCTTACTTTCAAGAGGAAAATGCTCCTGAAGATAATACTCATGCTGATGAATTTAAAGAGTTGTCAAGTTTAATATAAAGAATGCATCTATTGGGAGCAGGAATGGAATTGTTTAAATTAGTGCAAATGAAACCCACTACTATTGGTCATATAATTAAAAAAATAATGTATTCTGAAAATTCTTTAAATTCACTCAATTTCATGAAAGTCTCTTTGTAGTTTTGCAAAGAGTTTCATAAAAATTCATGGGAAGATATTCGGGACCAGGGCTTTTTTTCTCGGAGAAAAGGTG